CCCCTTCCCAAAATTACTTCAACGGAAGGTTTCCAGATGGACATGCGGAGCAAATCCGTCTGGCGGAGTCAGGTTACCATTCAAGTCCACTCCTGGAAAACCAAGTGACAGTCCGCTCCTTTACTCCTCTGGGTCCAACGTATGTCTGCCTGTCCGCTCTCCAACGAGTTCCCTCTTCTCTGGATTAAACCCCTACAAACTGGATCCAAGGATAAACCAAGAGCCCCCCAAGAGTGAGTGCCTCTCCAGCATTATTCAAGCCTCAGTCTTTTTTCCCACTGTCCCTGAACTGATCACTGTGATCTCCCCTTCAGAGTTTCCGGTTCCGGTTCACCAGTCCGCTGAGTTCCAGCACTGTTTCCCAACTGAGTTTCAATCTCCATCAGTGTTTGCTAACCTACAATAAATCTGTTAAACTTTTACCCTTGGTCTCTGGGTGGTTCTCTGCATGTGGGTCAGATCTTTAAAGCCCATTATCCTACAAATATGTAACAGAAACATATTTTTATACAGATCTCTCTATCAATAAATCTACTTAAAACTAATAAGAAACCAAAGATCAATTCTAAATCAAATCTATAATATAATAATAATTGAAATTTATTGATTTCACATTGGAGAAATCTACCTCTGCATTTAACCCATCCCCTTGGGCAACGGCGTAATGACACAACTATTCCCACAGCTCTTAAAAAAATTATTTTTAAAGGTCATTTTTTTCCCCATTGCTGTGTTCACACCTCTTATTGTACTAAAACAACCTCAGCTGAAATTATTTATTTATTTATTGATTTTTTTCATAATTTCAGCTCTTTTTGCTGAAATTATTTGGACTCCACTAGATGGCTGACTGATAGCATGAGGTTTGCCACACCTACTCACTCAGACAATGGCGTAATGACACAATAGGCCCATAAGCAACATTATCTGGGTGGGCCGCATATAAAGTACAACAAAACATTCTTTTCAGGAATCCGCTTAAGTACCTCTTTTTGGTATCCATCGTCGCAACACATTGTACGTAATGGTTATGGTTTTAATCTATGCTCTGGATTACCCATAATTCCAAGTCATAGTGTAAAAAATAAAATACTCAAATACATTGTTCTTTTAAGATCTTTAGATACATATTATATGCATGTGTTTTTTACCAACCGTCTAATGGTTGGTGAAAATGGTTGATCTAACTATACACAGATATTGACATAGTAATTAAAAGTACCACTGTCTGCTTTGCTATTGGTGTCGTATTTAAACGGCTCACCATAATTTTGAAATCTGCCATGTGATGGGGTA